AGAGTAGAGAGAGAGAGAGAGAGAGAGAGAGAGAGAGAGGGGGGGACGGTAGGGGGTAGTGGGGAAAGAGAGAGAGATGGGAGGATGGGTGAGAGACGAGGAGAGCTCGGGACTCACCGCTACGCGTCCAGCTTGCACGGCCAGTTGCAGCTGCATGGACATCACCACGGCTATGTATTATTTTGTAGCATGCTTAATATATACGAGCGGAGAACGCGTGGATCGGTACGAATTTCGACCGCGAAACGACGAATTCGATTTTCCGTAATTGACTACGCGTGTATATACACGCGTGCGTGTGTGTGTATAGGCGTACACATGTGTACACGCACGCACGCACACACGCACACACCGCGTCGCTGATGAACTCCGACTCGATCGATCGTCGCGTTAAAATCTTGACGAGGCACGCTAATATCTCCCGCGTGCTTGGAACGGCGAGTCGAATCACCGATCGATTCGCTCAAGCAGAAATGGAAACGAATCGGTCGCCGTCAGTCGTCATTCCGCACGCCAAAATTATCGTTGGCGTTTGTTACTGCAAACAAAAAACAACAGAGAGATAGAAAAAGAGAATTCGTGTCGAGTTCGCGCGCTTCATCGACAAGAGCGTTTTTGCAAACGGCTGTTGTTCGAAAAAGTCATTGGAAGCTTTGAGAAATTATAGAATCGAGTCGTCCGGTCCTTCTCTTTTCGTCCTTCAAATAATCACGCGCGATAAAGCTCTAAATCAAATCAAGTCGAATTAAGTTGCGGTTAGCTTAGAATATGAAGTGAGAGACTTCACTTTATCTCGATTCATATCATCTCAGTGTCCGAACGCATAGACAAGTTTAGCGCGCAGAATATTTAGATAATAACTCCCGCCTAATGCTTTTATCAAAATTGAATTTTACATTAATATAAACGCAACGAAATAGACAATGCTAGGATTGCGTAAATAATTAGATGATAATGTCGATAATCTGCCGTCTCGTTTTAGCAATCGTCAATGTTTGACGGTAGTAATTATGCTCGATATATAAGGCAATCCGAGTCGCCTCATTAGCGTTAATCCGTAGGTTCATGGTGATGATCGATTATTCGTGTTATTCGGCGGATTTCTTCCAGTCTCGTCGTTCGGTAAAACAAACGGTGACATTTCGCAAGAATTTAAGATTGCTGTGCGAGTCGAATTCAAAATTCTCCTCACTTCGCTGTCACTTCCTCGACTAATAAGCTACTTTCTCCCTACTCCTCGAAGCTCTTCAAACTATTCCCTGATCGCTTTTTTCCCGACGCTTCCAGAGTCTCCACGCTCTTCTAGAATCTAGGAGACTGAAAATCTTAGAAAACGTTCCGTACGATAAATCTTTCTGAATTACTCATAATATTTATGTTCTTCCTCGTAACGTTGTGATGGTCAACATTTGCTCATCACTCGCGTCCGCGCGTTCATTAATTATCCGCGAAACATTTTATGATGACACTTAAAAGAAAGGACGTCGGCCTTACGACGAAGTGATCGAAGTGTTTGTCATTGCAAACTTGCAGCCGCGAGTCGTTTCAATCAAAAATTCATGCACTGACAGACTTCCACTTACTCGGATTAATTTTACCGGTTCTTCTGATCGCAACAAAATAGTTGCGCTAATGGTCAATCACTATACTTTCTCTGAAAAACGAGTTTATACTAGCCCAAGTCCGATTCACCCTCCAATTCCATTCACCTGCCGTTACGCAAGCGGCAGGAAAATATCCGCATATTTATGTGAAATGTCTTTTAATGACGAAAAACGCTATATCAAATTCGATAAATCCCAACGACCCGTTGCCTGCTGCAATTATCAACAAATATCTAGCAAGAGAGAAAGAGAGAGAACGTGAGAGAACGAGCGCAACGCCAGAGAAAAACGCGAATGCAAAATGACGCAACATCGACGCTTCGAATTTCGAGTTGGGTTATCGCGAATCGAGCGTCTCTACTTGAGTCAGTCGGCCGTAATTAGCGAGGAAAACTTTAGCGAGGTATCCCCGGAAGGAAATTCATTTAATCCTCCCGCTTTCATGCGCGTGTACACGCGCGCATCAAAAGGTATTGTGTCACAGACGGGCTTGCTACATATTTTCATATCTACATCGCGATTGTAATATTCATTAGCAGTGATTGCTCGTAGAGAGGAGGCCTTTGTCGCAAATAAGCAATTACGTCTGATCGACGGTTTGATTTATTTCGAATAACATCGAACGCAGCGCGTCTCAAGAACGGGCTAAAATTGAACTCGCGCTCTAATAGCGGTTGCATTTTTGTTCTTACGGGTTCAGTTTAGGCAGCGCTACATCTTTTTCGAGAATATCGAATCACTAAAAGCAAACAAATATATAAATAGTTGATATTTAAAACATCCAATTTATTCTACTCCATTACCTATTCTACGAATCTTGCTCTACGAATATAATCTACAAGGACTGTGTATTGCTTGAAATAAAACCACGCGTAACTCGTAGATAGAATTATTAAAAATGAAAAGTATATTGAGAAATCAATCTTGGAGATGAAGATTTTATCTCAGACTCGTCAAAAGATATCTTTCTCTCTTTCACTCTTCCGTCACGAAAGCAAGGGCGCTGAATCCGTGGGGCATTCTTCGTAAAAGTACGGGAGTTGCGAGAAGGGGTAGTGTCGAATAATCTGCAGGAAATGTCAAAAGTGTAGCCGGTATGTACTCGTTAGACTCATTTTCCACGAGATCCGTGCTTGCAGGGCGCAAGATGCAAGTGGAACGCGATATCTCGCGGAGCGTCCTTACGTCCCATTCGAAAATAATACGGCGCCTCTCGTTAAATTACCCGCCCGCTCGTTTCGCGTCGTCCGCGCGTAATGCGTCACCCCCCGTCTCCCGCCGCTCCGTCACCCCCTCGCCTACCCACGACGTAATGTACATAAATACATTTAATCTCGCTCCTGCTGCCCTCCTGATATTTTTCGAGAGATCGATCGAGCCGCGCGGTCCCACATTTTCCCTGCTAATTCCGAGATCTCGTTTGTGAATTTCGGTCGACGTTGGCGCGTTCCAAAATTGGTATTGGCGATCCCTGGCAGCGCCGAGTTTCTGGCTCGAGCGCCGGGGGTATGGCAGAAGCGCGCGGCTATAATAAAGGCACACTCCCTTCTTCCCGCACCTACCCGCGTCGCGCCATGCCTCGCCTCGCCTCGCCTCGCCGCGTTTCAGCCCGTTGCGTCTCGCCTCACCTCGCCCAACTTCTCGTCGTTGCTGCGCGCACACTCGCTCGCTCACTCGCTCGGTCCCGCTTCGTCGGGTGGCGGCGGTACCCTCCTCCAGTCGCCGTTCGCTCGGAATCGGAAAGGGGAAACCGCGCGGTGGTGCGCGCAGGCGCGAGGGTCGAACGGAAAAAAATCGGCCGGGCTGACGACGGGGGATGGTCGTCGTATCGATCGCGCTAACATCGGGGACCGAGAGAGCGTCGGAGTCTACGGGTATACCGTGATGCAGCCACGGTGACGGGCTATACCCGGCTTCGACCGGGAGTGAATGACGCGCCGCCGCCATTATCGAATCCTGGAGGACTCGGTAACATGCTTTTCAGCGTTGTGTCGTTACGAGACTCCACGAGATTGCAACTCTCTCTCTCTGTCTCTCTCTCTCTCTCTCTCTGCGCAGAAAATCGCAAATTCTATCATCTTGTCCATAGCCGATTCTATGATCTGTTCCTATCGCTGATACAATTCGGGAACAACAGTGGTACAGTATAATACGTCGCTGAATTGTTCAAGCTATTGGAATTTGCCGTTCGCGCACACACCCTGTGCGAGAGCGAATCATTAGTGGACTACGGGCGCTCCAAGAGCGGCGCTCTCGTCCGGCTGACTTTACTCTCCATCGTATCCTGCGCGAGAGGCACAAGGTAGCACGCGTTGCCGGTCCCGGAAAAAGCCTCATCCGTTTATACGTTCTACAAAGCGCGCAACAAAAGTCACGGCCGATGCCGCGCGAGCGCGCCCGATGTTGGCCGAAGTTGTGGCGCGACGGAGAAGGGTCGGCTACGCAAAGCGAGAGCGAGAGAGATAGGAGGACAGAGTGGAACCGAACGAGCGGTAGAATACTGGTGCCGTGAGAGGGGACGCGACCAGAGGGGAAACCCGCGTTCGACGCGCGATGGATAGAACGGAGCAAAAATCTCGGATATTTTCGGCCGCGTTCGGCCACCGTCGGATGTAAAATTTATACAAAAATACAAACGCGCGACGAATATTAGCCGGCGTTACGTATATTAACTGAGAGAGCCGTCTGCGATAAATCCCTCGACTTTGTTCGACGCTGACTGGCGTTGCAGACGTACGACTGTGGCGCCATATTAATCAAGAAATCTAATATTAATCGTAGCGATGACTCTAAATAATAATTATGCACGATTTTGATGACGTGAGACAGAATGTCGGAAGAACATTCACAGTGTTTGGTTGAAAAAACAAGTAGCAGAAACAGATAGATCGGCGAGTTCGCTTGATCTATAAACTATGAGACAGGGCCGGCTTTAACATCCAGGCGACCCGGAGTCAATCGTAATATGGAAGAAATACGAGCTAACCTAACCTAACGAGACATGAATTTTACTGCCATTAATTTATAAGTAATACCACATCTGCTAAAAATACAAAATCTCAATCCGTTGGTTCCTCTATACTAGAAGATTTCGGTATTTGAGAGTAAGTTCTTGCTTAACTTCGTCATATCGGTCTGAATTTGATCATTTATCTCATTATTGAACCGATGCAGTATTACAAACATTTTAATTTGCGTATTATCAGTCTTTAACAAGTTCATTGTTTTAGCTCTACTACAAAGTACAATTTATTTTATATTTGAACTAAATTACATTCAACATAAATTTCATAAATTTAAAATTCAGGAAATTTTATTCTTCGACATCGTCGTTAAGTATCGACTTGAAACTTAATACCGGAGGGACGAGCAGAAGCCTCGCTATTATATTCGGTATATATAGCATGTCACTATTTATTTATTGTGATGCGCGCGATAGATTAAAAAGTAGAACGCCGCAATCATAAAAGTAATTACTACTACGAGCCAACGAACGCCGCTTTATAGGAAAATAATCTAAACAAATATTGAATTATAAAATACATACATTAGATCTATTCTATTTTTTCTCTACATATATCGTCGTACAAATTCGCTTCACAGTAATTGGTAATTAATGAACAAAAGAGGAATGGTTAGGAAAAACGATATTTTCTTTTGTTTCTATTTCGAGTCACATTCAGGTACATATAAAAGAAATTTTAATTCAGAAGAATTATAAAAAAACTACTAAAAACATTATATATATATATATTAAATTATTTATCTTAGCCATGTAGCCATATAGAAAAGGTGCATGTATACATACATACATATATATATATATACATATATATATACATACATATATATATATATATATATATATATATATAATACTCAAATAAATAGAATTGATGTATCAGCAGAAACAAGACATTAATGTCAGCTGAATATATATCACTTCTTTTTATCACAATATTCTTTTATTGATGTTTTGCAGCAACTTTAAGGCAGTAAATGCATCAAAAGTTTCTTCCAAAAGTATCTCGCTTCTTGGACTATCTTCAAGGTTCTCTGTGTTATTTCTTGTATCTGTTTGCCAATGCTGAAGATTATTATCCTCTCAGTAATAAGTATTAGGTTGATCACCAGCGACCATTATAGTCTTGAAAATATACTTTCTTGCACTATTTTAAGTCGCTGTATGTGCTAAATTGTTTGCTTTGACTATTAAAGCTCTCGCTATCCTCTGCTTGCAAATTGAAAACATCTGTAAGGATAATAACAACACTGATGAAAGCTTCTGTACTCTTCTACGTGTGAGAAGATAAAAAAAGTAGCACCAAAAAGATATTCTAAATTTGTAGATAACACTAGGTTTCCCAAACACAGAAACGTTTACTTTCTTTTGACAAGTTATTGAGAACTGTATACTTGGGAAAAGTAGAATACATGACATTTCTATAATTCTATAACGAATATGATAAAAATGTGCAACCCTATGTATGATAAGCATGTGTGTTATTCTCATAAGCACATACATATGCATATATTCTCTTTACTTTTTAAAAGGAGATTTGAGCTCTCGTTACTATCATGAAAGAAGTTTGCTGCCTATAATTGATTAAATCGTATCTCTTCTATTGTGAAAAGAAACATTTGAGATATCACGAAACTCACAGGAGCTATACAATGGGCTGCAAATTTTACATATGTGAGAAGTATTACTTTCGATGCACAATTCACACAACTCTCCTGTATACACAATAGAATTTGACATTATAACGAGGAACAAAGACATCTACATAGTGAGACAATATATAGCAGTGCACACCACCCCTATATCACAGATTTAATAATGTGACTTTAACATACAAGTTATATATCCGTCAAATACTTAACAACGCAAAGCATAAAAACCAACAAAATGAGACTTTGTAAAGGACACTTACTCCACATCAAGATACTCTGCAAAGTTTTTTTTTCACTGCAGCGTCATCCGTCACATGGACCGCTCTGTCTATCTATAATAAAACATACGAACTATGTGATATGTATCTCCGCAACGAGAGTGGTCTACCACAATGTTTACAGATTCGAGACGTGTCACATACCGCAACGTGGTGGTCCTTTCGCTGGCCGGCGAGGCGCTCGTAAGTCCCTCGCATTGCCGCTCATTGTGTATCCCGCGCCGGTGTTATTTCAGATTGATAAAGCGACGCAATTTGCCGCCGCACGTACTCCGTCGAGGCTGCCGCATGGCGTCGCGGCGCGTTGCCATTTTCATTAACGCGTTACGCCGCCGCTGCCGCCGCCACGAGAGAGAGACGAGCATTCGGGCACGCCGCGAATGTGACAGCCGGACCGAACACTTCGGTTAAGGTCGAGCGAATTCGGTCCTCGTCGGATTTAAATATCGGCCGGAAATAGGACCTCCGTTCATCTTGCGCAGCGTCGAAGCGGGAAGCAGGAGCTACCGGAGGAGGTCCTCTCGGTGTGTGGCTCGTAAAGCAGAATCGAATATATATAATACAGAGTAGAATTAATATAAATTAATACAACGAGAAGGAAGGAGACGTTTTTGCGTCTGAACTGAACACAAAAATTTTGTAATACTAAATATCAGCGTGATTTTTGTTTTGCTTTTTGAGATGGGGGAGTTTTAACGTTATTTTCTTCACGCGCGCACGAGAACTCACATTTACTGAAAGAGATTTTCTACGTGATTTCAACATTAATAAAGAAAATTAACCTTTTAATCGATCGTACATGTAGTGTAATTAAAATAAATATAAGTAGAATGGAATCTCAATTACAGCTATATTGTACATATAATATGTGAAAACGCGAGGACGTTTCATTGTGTATTTATCGTACAATCTATTATTGAGTATCTATCCTCTAATCTCTATACCTGTAACTGAGAATTTTATATTGTATCTGTTTATTATACACTTACAAAATAATTTATTCTATTTATATATACTGAAGGTTTTTCCCGCATTGATAAAGATCAAAATTACGAAAATTAATAAAGATAAAGATGTTACGGAAAAAAGGTACTCTTTCGGATAATTTGGCAGTGTTCCCTATTATTCGTTAAGCGAAGAACAATTTCGCGAAAAATAACTATTATCTCAGACAATCGCACGGTACGTAAAAAAATCCAAGAACCAACTACAAACAATAACGGCGTCTGACGTTGGTAGCGGTCCTGACGTAGACGATAAAATCAATTGGGAAAGAAGACGCGAAAGAAAATTGAAGAAAGAATGTACAGGATGTGTCTCGTGCGTTTCTCTCGACCACGTATTCTTTCGATATCAAACGTCGCGCGCTAAATCTTGAATTAAAGCTTCCTTAGAATAAGAGATAACAATGAAAATATTTTATTATTTATCAAAAAAGAAAAATTAATGCTATTCAGCGACAATTAAAAAGAAATGAATTTTAATAATATATTTTTGCCGAGAGAGATCCACAGTGACAACATAATTATACAAAATAATATTAAAAAAGACTTATAGTTTTTGAAATTCCTTGCAATATATAATCTAAAAAATCAATAAATATTTTTCAGCAAAATTATCTTGCGGGAGTCTTTCATCGCAAATTCAAAGCTTCAGTTGCGTTACTTCAAATCCAACCTTGCAAATAACTACCCAATATTTACTCGCGTCGTTAACAAACCCTAACGTTGCAAATTATTGTAGAAACGTCGCGAGTAGTCGAATAATGATGCATCTTTTCGAAAGTATAGCCACGATATTATCTCGATATTCGTGCATTTTGCGCGCGTACGAACCGATATAAGTGCGCATCCCGTGAACATCCGGACATTAAGATAGCCGATGGTACAGCGGTGGTCGCTAGAAACCGAGCGAGCGTGACTGTACAGGTTCCTCAGGTATGTACCAGGCCAGGTGGAAACGTACTTGCGAAGGTAAACGGGATCTCTTCACGCTCGACCTCGTCCCAACTTCGATTCGCGACTAACAATCGACCAATGATCGACGCGAGTCGGTCTGCTCGCGAATTATCACGTGTTCGCATACGCAAGATTTATTTGTATTGTTGTTACGACATTATGGTTACGTAGGGAATCTATCGCGAAGCGAGTTACTACGAGACGTACGTATACTTTTGTGGTTAACGCCGCATTACTGTACAGATATTGCTCCCGAAGTACGTGCATCCAGCAAACTTCGTTTGCAAATTCCTTGACTGACTTGAGGTTCCCAAGCCAATTGTTCCTCGATAGGAATGCCGATATATATCAATGTTGATATAATTTTTGAACAATCTCAACGGTGAAGAGATTCTCGCGGGTTAGAATGCAATGCTCATACAACACGCGTGTCTCAAACGTCTCAGAGATGTCGAAAAAACAATTAAAAAAAAACTTTTAAAAACAATAAGATGTCTTTGAACGTCTTTGACCTGTATCAACAGTCATTACTTGAAAATTGCGAAATACTCATTTGAATTTAGAGTGAATTTAGATGTGAGCTTTTTACAGCTCATTACAGATGTAACGTCACATATGTTACACGGTTCAAATAAGAAACTCAAATTTAACTCTAAATTTTAATCCGAGTATTTCACGTGAGACACACACACACACAAGTTTTATTAATGATTATTAATACGGGCCTCAGAGACATACGTATTATGTGGGACTTGTTCTTTTGTTGAATTTCGTGCGAGGGAACTTCGGCAAATATAATGGCGTGCTGCTATTGGGAACACTTGAAAGAATCGTCAATACTTGAGAACGTATCAAGACGTTTCGTTAAGAAGCAATGTAGATCATATCGTTATTAAGTAGAAGAAAAACTAGTTAATCCTATACATAAAGACTCCTCTGTCAGTCTAGAGTCGGGTTCTCCCATACAAATAGCCGCGATACGGATCTTCGAAAGCGAGTTAACGGCGGGCGTTATTAGCGCGACAAGGTGAAACCCAGGGGCAGAAATGTCTATTGATTTTTCGAAGAAAACTCGGCATCCCTTCTCTTGGATCCGCCGCCGCTAACCTACATTCGAGTTATAGCGGCGGTATGAAGTCTGATAAAACGCGTCCGATAATGAGACTCGCGGCGTATCGCGCCGGCAGTGACGCGCCGTTTCTCCTCGCCGATTTCCCTAACATGCGTCTGAATTTTTCCTCGTCGACCCTCGGACGAAAAAGAGAAAGCAAGAAAAAAAAATGAGCGCGACGAATAAAGACGACCCCGCGGTATCGGTCTTCGGTATCACGTTCTCTCGTCGATCGTTGGGATTTCAGCGGCGGAAGGTTCCGTTCGGCGATGTGGCACCCTTCAAACGTTCCCGTTTTCGAGGTGAACACGCCAGGATATACCGAGCAACGGAGAGGGCGACTCGGTCGCAACCCCCCTTTCGCACTCGCGCCGAGGGGGATCGATCCGCGTTCACTCTGCGCACCTACCCCTGCGGCAAAACCCAAATCCGAACCCCGCTCCAAGAGCAGGAGCAGCGCCGGCTAAAATCGCCCGCGTTTTTAGTCGGGCGAATTTTCGGCGCGGCACGGCGCCGCGCCGGTTAAGCGCGACGACAACATTGTACCCATTCCCCAACGTTCGTTTCTCCCTTTTAAGCGGGAATTGAAACTCATCAGAATCGATGTGATCTCGATGGAGTTTCGGATTTTGATACCATTAACACGGTTCACATACATGATGATCTCCGTGCCTGTGCCCCATAATGGACACGCGCTCGCACCATGGTCTCGCATCACCATCCTCCGCCTTCGCGGAGCCCTTGCGATCAAGTGTTGCGCAATATTGCGAATAAAAGGAGAACACGTAAATACCGAAGCTAACGAATAGCTTTATCTAACTGCAATTTTCATTCGCTGCAGTATGAAGCTACCACCGCTCTACTACCGTCTAACTCCCTCCAACGATATTGCGAGAGCGCTATTAGCGAAGCGAAAATACGCCCTCTTGCAGCTACACCCATACAAAAAGAGACACGCTTGTAGACAGCAGAAATACATAATACGACGAGATATTGCATTTCAACCAGATCGTTCGAAACATTTGGACATAGCTTAGACTTAGGTCCGAAAACGTTAATCACGATGGATAGATTTGTTGTCGCCGCGAAGTTCCATCTCTATTCCTCTCTCTCTCTCTCTCTCCCACCCTCTCCCTCCTCCTCCTCTTCCCCTCCCCCTCTCTCTTCCTCTCCCTCTCTCGTCTAATATCGACGAAGAGGGCCAAATTAGACACCGTCGGATGGAATTGGGCGCGAGGGAAGGAGACATTTTGGTTCGGTTGACTTCAGGCAGTGTGTGTGCATTATAAATTTCTACGCGGATAAACCGCGAGTTCGCGCACACACAGGCGCACTCGGGTCACTCACGGAGAGTGCATCGGTTGGTGACCGACCAGCTCGAGTTCGTGTATCCGAGGTGGAAAATTTACAATCGAGTTCGCGCGCGGGGAGTTGAAGATTCGCGAAAGGTTAGGGTTCCTCGTAAGGGCATACGATCGATACGGAAAAGTTCCTCGAAATCCCGAGCAGAGCTTCGTTTGCTTCTCGTGCCATTTCGCGTAATCGCGACCGTCGGATCGGCCGGCTGTATTCGTTCCCGCGTAATTTCGCGTGCGGTCCTCTAGGACGTAAGTCGTATCGACTAACTTCGCGAATTCGTCAAAGAGTGTACCATCAAAAATTAACGCGGGCTAGTTCCGATGCACCGGCGCACGTCCTAATTCGGGGTAATCCCTCGAGCTTTAACCGTGAACAATATTTGCCCTTCTCGGGAGTTTCTAGGGCCGACTTCCCTGATAGCACGAGAAACCTTTCGAGCTACGCGCCGAAGGGAGTGAGACTTTGGAGGATGTCCATCACGATCACCTACGACAGGGAGGATAAGATAGCGCGCCCTCTCGTGACTTGTCGGAAAAAAATCAATCGATTCTGTTATATTCTTTATTAATAATATTTACGTATCCACTGCTGACTTTAACATGATGGTAACTTTAGAGAAATGCTCCAGTATATGAAATTAAAAGACTAAAAAAGAGAAGGGAGGAGACATACAAATGTATGTTTTCATGACATGTGTACTAATATTAAAATATTATTATAGCTTTTAAAAATAATATAAAAAAAAACTCGTTTTTTGTAATAGACGTCACCCTGCAAAATATTTTTGGGAAAAAAATAAGAAGATAAAATATAATGCTCAAGTGAGAGTATAGTCTGTGAAATTAGCGTCAATTGTCTTTGCCATCCGTGTAACTTTCGTGGACAGATAATTGGGTTAAAGAATACCGAAACGCATGTCCACAATTTCGCGTGTTCAGGGGACGTTCGGCCACGAGGGGATCGCG